AGGAAGGCGGTTTAGCACACACAGGAGATTCCATAAGACCAGCAGCAGCTTCTCAGCAGGAATTCTGCAGGCCAACAAGAACAGGCTGATGTTTTCAAAGTGCTAAAAGAAGAAGAAAAAAATAAACTGCCAACCAAAAACCTAGTATTTGGAAAAACTACCCTTCAAAAGTTAGGGTTCTACCTAGTGTATGATTCTGTTGTATGAGATGTCAAAATAGCAGAACTCACAGGAATGGGGAGCGGGCTGGGAGCCGGCAGGCCTCGGGGCGCTAGGAAGAGGGGTAGTTTACTGGGTATGAGGTTCAGACTTGCAAGATTCAGAGATCAGAGATCTGTTTCACAACAATGGAAACATGTGTGATCCTGAGTAGCTGGATTGTAGGTAGGCGCCGCACACCCAGGTTAGAGATTTTAATCCTCCCTTGGTCAGGAACAGAATAAGTAGGCAAAAACCAGAAAGAGTGCAGAACAATATTCGACAACTGACCTGTTTGGCCCATTAACTGCACAAGCCAATGTTCTTTAAAGTGCACATGAAATGTCTGCCAATACAAATGATATGCTGAGCCAGACCTCAGGTTTTGATAAATTCAAAAGAACTGAAATCACCTGAAGCACCTTTTTAGACTACAGTGGAATGTAATTAGAAATCAATACTGAAGAAAGGCCCCGCGTAGTCAGAACTGAAGCAAAATGCTTCTAGGTCAAGTCAAAAAGGAAGACTCCTCTTGCCCAAGGCCTGTGCGGGCTATGGATTTTGGGTTCCCCTTGTGTGAAGTGTACCAGTTGAGAAACACGGCGAAAATCACAGACCCAGAAAGTAATTCTCAAAAAGTGGGGGCAGGACGGCTTTAGGACCTAGCGTCCTGCTTCAAACTGGAAGGAGAGAGAGAAGAGCCTGCATTTGCTTTATTTATACAAGGGGGCTTCAAGGGATTTTCACAGAATATTCTTTTGCCAAATAAGATAGAAGGAGGGCCGTCCACGCCCAGCAGTAACACCGGGGTCCAGAGCTAAGAGCAGCCTCTCTAGCCGAGGGAAGACTGAGGTCACCATGTGCTCTGCATGATCCATTAAGTGAAAGAAGCCACAAAATGACCTGCAATGCCTGACCAAGATCTCCCAGGCCCTGAGGCCGAGTAGAGGTTTCCAGTAGCTCAGGGGTGCCCCCACCCCCAGACTGTGAAGGTCAGAAAATATTTTTAGCTACCTGATCACGAAAACCTATCCCAAGTGGAAGGCAGCTAAAGCATTAGCTCGAGGGAAAATCCTAACTTTAAACACATGAAATGGGAAAAAAGTCAGTGACCTAAGCTACCAAATCAAGAAAAGAAAAGCAATTGAACCCAATAAAAAATACAGTATGTCAGTAACAAAGAGGAGAATAGACATAACAAAGAATAGAGAGAAATAAACAAGCCAAACATAGGCTATTGGAGAGCCAGGTGGTAAGATCTTTTTCAAGATGTATTTAGGAAAAAAAGGGAAACAAATTATTAATATCGAAACAAAAGTGGAAATATTGATATGTATCTCCAACATACAGGCATTAAAACAAGACAGCAGAGATATTACGAAACACAGAGACACAACACAGACAGGATGCCTTAGATGAATAGATAAGTGTTTTGCAGTAAAATCGTACACACATACCCCTGGCCAACCTTTGGAGGCAGCTATATGAACTACACAGATGTGCAAACACACACACTCACCCTTATGACCTCTGACAAAACTGATGAATATTTTTCCTTTTTGTGCACCAGGAATTGAACCCAGGGGTGCTTAGCCACTGAGCCACATCCTCGGCCCTTATTTCACTTTTTATTTTGAGACAGCGACTTGGTAAGTTGCTTAGGGACTTACCAAATTGCTGAGGCTGGCTTTGAGCTCACCGTCCTCCTGCCTCAGCCTCCCGAGCCACGGGGATTACAGGCGTGCGCCACCACACCTGGGTTTTTCCTTTTTTGATTCCAAGGAATACCGACCTGCCAACTCGACCCTCCCTCCTCCTAGAGATGGCCACAGCACAGGTGTCAGCTCTCACACCTGAAGTCATCCTGACAGGGGCCACAAGTGCTCACTAATTCCCCAGGCACTTGAATACGCCGTGGCCTGCTCAAGGCCCGCCCTGAAAGTCCCAAAGAGCCGATGCGGTGGCGCATACCTGTAATCAAAGTGATCCAGGAAGCTGAGGCAGGAGGGTTGCAAGTTCCACGCCAGCCTCGGCAACTTAGCAAGACCCCATCTCAAATAAAACAAATAAAAGGGCTGGGGGAGTGGCTCCGTGGTAGCGCAGCCCTGGGTCCGTCCCGAGCACCACAACACTACACAACACAACATCACATGACACAACACTACACGACACAACGTGACACAACACGACAACAAACATGCTTAGGACAACACGTGAAGCTCAGAAGATCGTAAGACACAGCCTGGCCCCCACGCATGTTCAGGTCTGGGAAACACGAGGGGGAGCGTGAACACCTACAGTATCTGGCGAAGTCCTTCTGCAGATCCTTCCTGGTGTTGACGAAGGCGCATCCCCTCTCGGTGCCCACCACGAACACGTCTGTCTCGTACACGGCGATGCAGGCCACCTCCACCTTGGACTTGGCCAGCTCCTTACACTGCAAGAGAAGCAGCGAATGGCGTTGTCCAGACACGGGCAGATCTGGAGTTCAGGAGAGGAACCAAAAGTAGGTAAAGGAAGGGGTATCTGAGCCAGGCGTGGTGCCCACTCCTGTGACTCCAGAGGCTCGGGAGGCTGAGGCAGGAGGATCGTCAGTTCTAAGCCAGCCTCAGCAACAGTGAGGCCCTAAGCAACTCAGGGAGACCCTGTCTCTAAATAAAACACAAATAGGGCTGGGGGTGTGGCTCAGTGGCCAAGTGTCCCCGAGTTCAACCCCTGGTCACTGCCTCCCCCCAAGAGGAATATCTGTTTGGAAAGAGAAAAATCACCATGAAAAAAATTATGCAGCAAATACCATGTCATGAAAGCCGGAAAGGAAGCTACATTAAGGTGCTACGCGTCCCTCCGTCAGGGCTTCTCCTGACCCTCTGGACGCAGACTCTTGCTTTAACAACAATTTCACAACATCATTTTGCATGGACGGTGGAGAGAGCACCTACTATTCCAACATGGCCCAACACGCTAATCATTCACAACCGAGACGCCAGGTGTGAGAATTCAGACAGACACGCTCGATGTTTGGGGCAGTGCTGCAGGTTCCTGTCCCAACAGACACAAGAATCCCCAGAGATTCTACAGATCCTCCACCTGCAGATGCTTTATCTTAGTGGTTGTAGAATCTTCTGGGCCAGCTTTGGCCTCTGTGCATCAGAAACCTCCTTTATCCTCTACACTCCATACCCTGTAGCTGGGCATGGTGGTACACACCCAAAATCCCAGCAACTCGGGTGGGAGGCCAAGGCAAGAGGATCTCAAGTTGGAGGCCAGCCTCAGCAACTTAGGGAAACACTATCTCAAAATAAAACACTAATAGGGCTGGGTGGGGATGTAGCACAGTGGTAGAGCAACCCTGGGTTCAATCCCTGGTACAGACACATCGAAGTACATGGAAGAAAAATCACCTGTAAACCCTTTACCAAGAGGAGCCACCACACACACCTGGGAACATGCACACATGCAGAGATGTGTGTTTGTTTTGAGATGGGACCACACTGTGTTGCCCAGGCTGGTCAAGAACAGCGTACACATGTTTAAAAACAAAATCGGGATTGTACTACTGAACATAGGCTGGTGTTCTGATTTATTACCTTGACAGTATTTTTTTAATATTTAGTTTTTAGTTTTAGGTGGACACAATATTTCATTTTTATGTGGTGCTGAGGATCGAACCCAGTGCCCTGTGCATGCTAGGTGCGCGCTACCACTTGAGCCACATCCCCAGCCAACGTTAATTTTTGAGCATTTCTCAAAATACAACTAAATGATCCTGAAAAAAATGACCTTTAAGTGAATACATGATATTCTACGCCACACACACCCTGGCTTAGCAGTAACATCATCCAGGGGTTTTGTTCCTATTATAAATAACAGCGGACCAAGGGCCGTGACGGTAAATACTCTGGGCATGTTTGGTCATTTCCAGGAGACAGACTCTCCCCGGCGGGACACCTGCACACAAAGAGTGTAAATTCTTTTTAGGTTCTTGAAACACAGTGCTGACAGCACTCTGGAGAGTGACTCCTGCCAACACTGGGGAGAGGCTGCGTTAGTCAGCTCTGCTGTCACTCCGACCAGATCACTGATAAGGGCGGTGGAGAGGAGGAGCTCTCGGGCCTTGGCAACCAGGGGGCAGAGAGCTCTGCTCCCAGGGACAAAATATAGACCACAAAGCCAGCGGCCCTCCACCCCCCCATGACCTCCTCCCTGTCTCTGCCTCCTATAGTTACCACCCTAAGAAACCCCCAAGGTGGACAGTGGCTTTGTCTACTGAATAGGTCACATCTCTTGTGACCTGATCATTTCACCTCTGAACGTTCTGTTTTTGGGGTGAGGGGGTACCAGGGATTGAACTCAGGGGCAATGACCACTGAGCAACGCCCCCAGCTCTATTTTGTAATTTATTTGGGTGGGGGGGACTCACTGAGTTGCTTAGGGCCTCGATTTTGCTGAGACTGGCTTTGAACTCACCATCCTCCTGCCTCAGCCTCCTGAGCTGCTGGGATCACAGGTGTGTGCCACCGCACCCGGCTGAACATTCTTACACCGGCTCACATCTGAGCTTCTGGAGGGTGCCTCACATCCCAATCACAGACCTGCCACCTTGCAGTCACCAGCACTGAGATCCGGTACTTGTGGGCCAAGAACAGAACATGGAAAGAGAAGACCAGCAGCTTCCGTGGAGAAAGGTGCAGGCAGACAGATGGACGGGAGCCCTGGGAGGTGCGCAGACATCCCTGCCCCATCTCCCAGCGTCAGGATGGTGTGGGGGCGGCTTTGGGTCCTGTCTTCTCTCCGGCTGGTCAGAGGCAGGGCCCTCCTCTCCTGCAAAGCTGGGCAGGACCAGCCTCCTGATCCCCAGGGCACGACCTGTGCCCACCGTGCAGGTGTGGCCTGGCGGAAACGACCCTAGGTTAGGTGAGTGCAGGGCAGCTCTGACTCACGGCCGGGGGCGGGGCTGGGGCCACAGGCTAGGGATCTGCTGTCCAGGGCTGCTTGGCCAAGCGCAGGCCAGTGTGTGGCTCGGAGGCCTGAGAGCTGGACAGCCCGCGTGTGGAGGCCAGCCTGGGTCTGGAGGCTTGAAGACCAGGAGTGCCTAGGGCAGGGGCCAATGCACAACTGCCCCTCCTGGGAGTGGACTTTGTGCCTAGGAAGAGGACGTCCTGGAGATGGACGAGGTGACCGCATGGTGGAGGCCCCAAAGCCGCTGAGCTGCAGCCTTAAAATGGCAACTTGTGTGTATGTCTGTTATCCAATGTTAGGATGAACTACAGAATCACCAACAGTCGCCTCTGCAGTTTCCGTCACCCCAGCCACCCAGTCCCCACATGAACTGCGGCCAGTCTGCCCCCGGCCTCTTGGCCCCTGGACTTCCTTCACCCAACTTCCCAGGGCTTCGCATCACACACCCAGAGCTTGGCGATTGGCCACCACGCACCTCCCAAGCCTGTCCTGACCACTTCCCTCGCTCTGCTGCAGCTGGCTGACCTTCTCCATGTCCTTTCCAGCTCGGGCCTTGGGTGGCCGTCCCCTGATCTGCCCCTCCCTGGCTGCCCCTCCCCTGAGCTTGTCCCTGCCTCTCCTGGGTCACACACACACACAGAGCTGGATCACTGTCCCCTTCCCACACAGAAGCCAAGATCTGGGAGGGCCTCGCCGTCCTCTCAAGTGCTGCAGGACCATCCCTGCGGGGGCCTGGCCAGGGCAGCGGAGCCCGGGACGGGAGCAGGGGCCAGTCCTGCTGGGTGCCTGTCGGGCACCTCTGGCCCTCTGGGAACAGGGCCCAGGAGCTCGCTCCTCAGGTGTCAAATAAGCCCTCGGCCAATCCCGAGGGTCCCCACTCCAGATCCTTAACTGGTCACATCTGTGAAGTGCCTGTGGCCAGGGGAGGGGACATTCATGGGACCTGGCGACGAGCACCTGGTGGTTATCTCTGGGGCCACAGGTCAGTCCACTGAAGGTTGCTTCTGAGGCCTTACATTTGATTTTAGCAGATTAAAGATGACGGGTCTGGGTGTGTGTGTGTGTGTGTGTGTGTGTGTGTGTGTGAGTGCGCACACCTGTGGACATGGGAGTTCCATATTTGGTATTTTGCCAACTGACCCACCGATGTCCCTAATGGATAATGAAAGTGTATGTACATCCATTAAAGTCAGCATTTTTATTCTGTTTTCTGAACTCAGTATTTTGGCCCAGGATCCAGTCCAGGCCACACTTCCTGTCTGGCCGTCCCCTCTCAGCCCCCTGGGACCTGGGCAGCTCTCTTCTCTCCGTCTGTCCTGAGGACCCCGGGACTCTGTGGGACGCCCCTCGGTCGGGCTGGTCAGAGGCCTCCTGGTCAGGTCCCTGCTGCTGCAGAAACCACGGCAGTGCTTCTCCCCTTAGGTGCACCAGCTCAGGAGGCAGCTGGTGTCCCTGTCCCTCTGTCCCAGCACTGCAGACCTCTGACCCCTGCCTAGGTGGTGGCTGTCAGGTTTCTCAACTGTGAGCTCCTGACGCTGCCTTTTAAATCAGTGTCTCTGTCAGACACGGAGGTTTATAAATTCCTCATCCAATTTTAACCACCCAGGCAAAGTTATGTCGTATTTATTTATTTTGCAATACTGGGGATTGAATCCAGGGGCGCTCTGCCACTGAGACACACCCCCAGCTTTCTTTATTTCTTATTTTGAGACAGGGTCCCCCTAAATTGCTGAGGCTGGCCTTAAACTTCTGATTCTCCTGCCTCAGCCTCCCAAGTCGCTGGGATGACAGGCATGTGCCATGGCACTTGGCATCAATTTTGCTCTGAATTTAGACAAGAAAAATATTTTTCAAAAGATAACAAAGAAGCCTGGTACGGTGGCGCACACCTATGATCCCAGGGTTCAGGAGGCTGAGGAAGGAGATTGTGAGCTCAAATCCAACCTCAGCAACTTAGTGAGGTACTTTGCATCTCACCAAGACACTGTCTCTAAATAAAATATTAAAGAAAGGGTGGAGATGTGGCTCAGTGGTTAAGAATCCCTGGGTCCAATCCTCAGAACCAAAATACAAAAAAAGTCAACAAAAGTACATCTCCCGTCCAGAAAGCCCACACGTATACCATCACACCCACGTTCACAAATCGCAATCTGACAGCCTGCCGTCCTCTGCGGAGAACAGCCTTTCACACACAAAATGTAAAACACTGGGTCAGAATTCCGTCTTCAGAAGTTGGCTGGATTATACTTTTCAGCAAAAGAGACAGAAACGGGTCAACATCAAAAGTGACACGGGCCGGGTTGGTGTACAACTGTGATCCCAGGGGCTGGGGAGGCTGAGGCAGGAGGATCGCAAGTTCAAAGCCAGCCTCAGCAACAGCAAAGTGCTAAGCAGCTCAGTGAGACCCTGTCTTTAAATAAGATACAAAATAGGGCTGGGGGTGGGGCTCAGTAGCTGAGTGCCCCCGAGTTCAATCCTTGGTACCCCCCTGAAAAAATAAATGACAGGAAAGTGCCCCTCAATTCTGTGTCAATAAGGACCCACTAAGGGACGTGGCAGAAACACAGACCACCTCACCATGGACTCGAGTGCAGACATGAGGAAGGTCACCACCATCCTGCTCTCCGAAGACTCCTCATCTTCAACGGGCAGGGTAGACATCGCTACCTGGGCCATGATTCCTGTGCAAAAGAAACAACAAGGACGTGAGTGACAAAAACCAGGGACTCAGCACACTTCAGAGCCATGAGGCGGCCACCAAGATGGCCCAAACCATCCTTCTGCACTGAGAAACTCACCCTTGAAGAACACAGAGAGCCTGGCTGAGACCCTGAATGGGAAGGCTCCTAGGGAGCACCTGATACCTGTTCCAGGGACTGCATTTTTCTTCTATGATCCTTAATTGTTCAGAGAGGTTTTTCTAGCCCTTTATCAGCAGATACAACTTGTCATCATTGTGCATTTTTCCAGATAAACTAGTTAAACTAGTTCTGAAATCTGTTAACCACCTGTATTAGGTCGTTTCCTGTTACTATAACAAAATAACTGAGGCTGGATATTTCATTTTTTAAAAAAAGAGGTTTATTGAGTTCATATTTTTGGAGGTTGAAAGTCCACGATCAGGTGGCCCCATCGCTTCAGTCTCTGGTGAGGGCCTCATGGCGAATGGTAATCACAATGGTGGGAGCATAAGCAGAGGATTGAGTGGGGAAACAGGAAGTGGGAAGCAGGGAGAGGGTGGCCTTGCTCCTTTAATAACCACCTGTTTTGTAGGAACCAAGTGAGTTCCTGAGAACACAACAGGAGTCCTCCTGAGGGCAGCGCCCTGCAGACCTCCCACCTCCACTACAGCCCCCT